AAGCTGAAGGAGGAGCGTCCTTCCCTACACCCGCGTATGCAATGCATCCCTATAATGCATCCTCTCTCTTCTTCCTCTTCCCCGCGCGCGCACAGGAAGCCGAGAAGCTGAAGGAGGAGCGTCCTTCCCTACACCCGCGTATGCAATGCATCCCTATAATGCATCCTCTCTCTTCTTCCTCTTCCCCGCGCACACACAGGAAGCCGAGAAGCTGAAGGAGGAGCGTCCGCAGTTCAGCGACACGGTGCAGCGACGCATTGACGAGCTTCGCGATGAGTATGACGAGGTGCAGACGACGACGCGCGACAAGGGTCAGGAGCTGTTCGACGCGAACCGACACGTGCTCTACGAGCAGACGTGCGACGACGTCGAGGAGTGGATGAACGACCTTGAGACGCAGATCGTGCAGGACACGGGCACCGACCTGACCAGCGTCACCCTGCTCATGCAGACCCAGCAGGTGAGGGGCAGGGAGAGGCAGGGAGGGTGTGATGTAGCAGGGTAGAGGGAGGGAGGGTGTGATGTAGCAGGGTAGAGGCAGGGAGGGTGTGATGTAGCAGGGTAGAGGGGAGTTGTAAGGTAGAGAGACAGCAGAGTAGAGAGAGAAACTTGACGTAGCAGGTTAGGGGGGGCGTAAACTGTAAAGTTAAAGTAGAGGGACATGGCAGGGTAGAGATAGCGTAAGGTAAGGTAGAGAAGTCTGACATCGCTTGTAAGTTAGTGTGTGGAGGGTATCCCTGACGTCGCTCGCGTGTCATTGACAGGTGCTGGAGAGCGAGATGAACGTGAAGCAGGCGCAGGTGCTGGAGCTGGAGTCGCAGGCCTCGCACCTCGCCAAGATGGAACCCGAGAACATCGAGAAGCTAGAGGTCATCACTGCGAAGAAGTCAAAGGTCGAGGAGAGGTGAGTCGGAGGTCGGGGGATTGTAGGTCGCAATTGGTCCGTGATGTGTGTCGAAGATTCATGGATTGTGGGTCGTGATTGGCCGGCGATGTGTGGCGAAGGTCGATGGATCGTGGGTCGTGAGTGGCCGACGACATACAAAACTTTACTACATTGAAATGGGGATTGGTAGAAACTAAAAGTTAAATTATATACGAATTCGACGTCGTTCTATGGATACAAATCAAAATAATAAGAACAAATTGAACACCCATCGAATAATCAAAACACTAAAACTTAGTAAAAAAGATGAAATCATACGAATAAATACGAATAACGAATTCAAATAACATTTTAAAAAATAAACAAAAAATCATCAAATAATCAGAACACTCAAAAAAGATAAAAAAGATAATAATCGATCGTGGCTTCGTGATTCATCCCTGCAGGTTCCAGAAGCTGCAGGAGCCGATGGTGGAGCGCAGGAAGGCGCTGGAACGCAAGCGCGTCGTCTTCCAGTTTGGCCGCGACATCGAGGATGAGCTGATGTGGATCGAGGAGAAGATGCCGCAGGCGACGAGCAAGGACTACGGTAACAACCTCTACAGCTGCCAGATGCTCGCCAAGAAACACCAGGTACGTGTATGTGAGGAGGGAGGTGGAAGTAAGGGTGGAGGGAAAGGCAGGGTGAGAGAGGGGTGCGTGCCGTGCGGTGTGTGTGAGCACGGAACTACGGACGGCAAAACTCTACAGCTGCCAGATGCTCGCCTAAGAAAACAACCAGCGTACGTGTGTGGAGGAGGAGAGAGAGGTAGGGTGGAGAGAAGCGCATGAGGTGGGAGAGGCGTGAACGTGCTGTGCTTGGTGTGTGGTGAGCACGGACTACTGGCGGCAACAACCTCTACAGCTGCCAGATGCTCGCCAAGAAACACCAGGTACGTGTGTGTGAGGAGGAGAGGGTGGGGTGGAGAGAGGCAGGGTGGGAGAGGGTGCGTGCGTGCAGACCCGTGTGTGGTGAGCACGGACTATGGCAACACCTCTACAGCTGCCAGAATGCTCGCAAGAAACACCAGGTACGTGTATGTGAGGAGGGAGAGGGTGGGTGGAGAGAGGGAGGGTGTGAGAGAGCAGGAGTGGCGAGGAGGTTGCGTGCGTGCCTGTGTGGTGTGAGCACGCGACTATGGCACAACCTCTACAGCGCAGATGCTCGCAAGAAAACCACCGGTACGTGTTATGTGAGGAGTGGAGAGGGTTAGGTGGGAGAGAGGCGAGGGGTGGAGAGGTGGCGCGGTGGTGCGTGTGTGTGAGCACGGACTATGGCCAAACAAACCTCTTACAGCTGCCAGATTGCTCGCCAAGAAACAACAGGTACGTTCGTGTGTGAGGAGGAAGGGTGGGGTGGAGAGCAGGAGTAGGGTGGGAGAGAGGCAGGGTGGGAGAGGGTGCGTGCGTGCGTGTGTGGTGAGCACGGACTATGGCAACAACTTACAGCTTGCCAGATGTCTCGCGCCAAGAAAACCAGTACGCTGGGTTCTCGTGAGGAGGGAGAGCGGGGGGTGGCAAGAGAGAGCAGGGTGTGGAGAGGTGTGCGCGTGCGTGCAGGTGTGTGTGATGAGCACATGTGACTATGGCAACAACTCTACAGCTGCCAGATGCTGGCCAAGAAACACCAGGTACGTCGTGTGTGAGGAGGAGAGGGTGGGGTGGGAGAGAGGGAGAGGGTAGGGTTGGGAAGAGGGAGAGGATGAGCAGTGTGTGTGCCGCACATGGGGAGAGGATGGGGTCGGGAGAGAGGGAGAGGCAGATGGGAAGAGGGACGAGGATGAGCATGGTGTGTGTGCGCCACACTGGGAGAGGTAGTGCCGGGTCGCGGGAGAGGGGCAGAGGGCAGGGGGAGAGGGGACGAGGTATGAGCTATGTGTGTGTGCACACATATGGAGAGGACGGTCGAGAGCATGAGTAGCGGGATGCGATGCAGAGAGAGAAGAGAGAGAGAGCACGAGAGAGAAGGAGCAGAGAAGAGAGACTGAGGGGGAGGGTGTTCGTGCGTGCATCACTGTGAGGAGAGGGGTGAAGGCGTGTGGCGCGTGGCTACGCATGGGGGAAGAGGGTGGGTTGTAGAGAGCGGTGGGCCATGCCGTGCGTGCATGTGCGTGGCGTGCGTTTGCGTGCGTGCGATGCTGTGCGTGGTCGCGTGCGTGCGTGCGTCGTCGCATGCAGCAGCGCGACTATCGCTCACGCCGTTCCTTGCCGTTTCTTTCCCAGACCCTGCGTAACGAGATCGACGGCCACGAGCCGCGCATCGTCGGCATCTGGGAGACAGGCAACCAGCTGATCGAGGAGGGTCACCCGCAGGCCGCAGAGTTTGCGCAGAAGCTCATACTCAGCTGCAGGTGCGCTGGGAGGATCTGCGCAACGCCGTCGACGACCGCGAGCGAGCCCTCAAGGAGAACGAGAGGGCGCAGAGGGTAGGTGTTCGCCAGGGGGCGCCACCGGGGGGCTCCGACGGACGGAGCTCGCGGGCGGCCACTGCTCGGTGGCTGTTTATGGCTGTATTCTCTGTCTTTACAGTACTTCCACACTCTGCCACAGTAATTGTTTAACCCTTTCTTCCGTCTCTTCCGTCTCTTCCGTCTCTTTCCTTCTCTTTCCTTCTCGTCCTCACCAGTTAGTTCATCCTTTCTCATCTCCGCGCCAAAAAAAAATACTTTCATCTGTTACTGCTTGTTATACAGCTGCTTACATACCTACATAATGCGCCTTTATATTATACTTCCTCGCTAGTTACTTAACTCGTTCTTTTCCATCTCCTCAGTTACTTTCCCTCCCACATCTCTACTCATCTCTCCCAGTTCACTCACCAGTTAAAGTGATTACGTCACCGTAAATAGCAAACATAAAAATAAATTTCTATTTTCACAAAATATAAGTAATTCTGTTTACTTTATGTAAACTAGGTTAAATGGTTAAATTATTTTACTATATTGTTCTATCGTAGAACATACACTTCTGACGCATACATGAGCCCATACGCAAGCAATTAACTGTCAGGAACATTCGTTTCAATATCGTCCAGGGTTTTTGCTGGATTTTTAACTAGTTGAGAAACAATCTTATCAGGTAAGAATTTTGACGATTACGTTTAGTCCTTTAGTTCTTACTTTAATAATGTAAAAAAATGCGCAATACAAATTTTACACAATTTTTACCAATAGAAAAATTCGCTGACGTAATAACTTATACCCTTTCTCCCCTCTCCTCCTCCTCTAGTACATCCCACAGCAATCGTTTAACCCTTTTCTTCTCTTTCTATCTCTCTGCAGTATTTCTTCTGACACGTCGAGCGGGAGGCGTGGATGTCGGAGCAGGCACTGCACATGATGACGGACGACCGTGGCTAAGGATGATGTTCTCGTGCGAGCGCCAACACATGCAAGCAAGCACGCGCTGCAGTGAGGAGGTCATAGAGAATACGCCGACCAGATACGCGAGCTGGGAGACAACGCCCGGCCATGATCGAGCGACCCCAGGGACACCGCGCTCGGGTCGAGTGCGGGGTGAGGGGGAGGAGCTTGCGGAGAGGTGCGGAGGAGCAGCGAGAGGGGGAGGAGGCAGGGGAGGGGGACGGAGAGAGAGGTGGGGAGGGAGCATGGATTAGGCGGGAGGAGCCATGGGAGAGGGGGAGGGCGTGGGAGGAGGGGAGAGCGATTGGGAAGATAGAAGAGATTAGTTGGGAAGCGGTACAAGGGATGTTGCTTAGTAGTGAGAGAGCGGACGAGAATGAGTGAGCGGAGACAGAGGCAAAGGGGGAGGAGTCGAGAGCAGAGAGAGAGAGATCGAGAGATGAGAAAAGCGAGCGAAGGGAGACAAGGGTGAGAGTGAGAAGAGAGAGAGAAAGTAGCAAGAGAGGTGAGAGAGAAAATGCGATAGAGCGGAGAAGCATCATCTTAATGATGATGAACAAGCAAGAACAAAAAAGCTAAGACAATCTAAAATCCATTTTCAACATCGATAATCATCGTCACACGTCGCTCCGTTGCCGATTGCAGGGAGCAATGCGCGTGCTGGCCAGAGCGCCAGATCGACAAGCTGATACGCGGGACTGTAGGACTCGCGCCCAGGAGCGGCGCGCGAAACCTGGACGAAAGCCTCAAGCTGTTACATGCGCACCGCGGAGGTCGACGACCTGCTGCAGTGGATCGCAGAGCGCAGAGGTCGCCAAGTCGCCCGAGCTCGCGTCACGACTTCGAGCACGTCGTGTGTAAAGTGTAGTACAGTGGGTTGTGGTGCTGATGCCGTGTAGTGCGTGGTCATGTGGTGTTGGGAGTTCGGACACGAATTTGAGCCACATCTGCGGTAAGTGTGCTGCATTGTTACGAGGTGCTGCAGTCGTGCTGCGTGCGGATGCATGGCCTGCACCTAGCACAGGACACGGACCACGCGGATTACATCGAAATTCACCAACCCTCTAGTACCATCTCACACGTTCTTTTTACACACGCATGGCACCCCTTCCACACGTAAAAACACGTTCTTCTTCTCACCGCACACACACAGATGCTGCCAGGACCGCTTCCCGAGTTCGCGCGAGACGGAGGGCATCGGCACGGAGCGCAGTGACGCCGGCAACGAGATCGCGACGCGCTGATGAACGGCGGCGACACGCCGACGCCGCGCAGATCGGCAGTGGAAGCGACCAGCTGACGAGGCGGGGGAGACCTGCTGGAGGCTGATCGAAACACGCAACGCAGAATGCTCGACGCCAGCTACCGCCGCACAAGTTACTACTACGACTGCAGGGACTGCTCGGCATGATCCTGGTGAGTGCGGTGGCAGGGAGAAGGGGAGGAGGAGGTGGAGAGGTGAGAGGAGGAGGGGAACGTAGATCTTGCGGTACAGTTTCAGAGGACGAGGGGGAAGTGGTTGGTGGTGACAGGAAGGATAGCGGTGTAGGTGGGGTTGGTAACAGCCAGTGCGAGGAGGAGGAGGAGGAGGAGGAGGAGGAGGAGGAAGAGGAGGAGGTGGTGATGAAGGGAGGAGGAGAAGCAGTAAATATAAAGGTAATTTCGTAATAATGATCTTTGTATTGTTCCCGCATCTCAATATGCTTGAGATTTGGGCCCAGGTTATATATTTTGGCTGGGATTTCTGCAGGACTTCAGTCGCTCACTCACTCACGCATAATGTCATTGCAGGAGAAGCAGAACTCGATGTCGGATGAGCTGGGTCGTGACGCCGGCAGCGTGTCCGCCCTCGGCCGCAAGCACACCATCTTCGAGCAGGACCTGGCCACCCTCTCCGCGCAGGTACATGCCCGCACACACACGCTTCCTATCTCTCTCTCTCTCTCACTCTACCTCTTTGTTTGTCTGTTTCTCTCTCTGTCTTTCTCTCTCTCCCTTTATCTGTCTGTCTGTTTCTCACTCTCTCACCCTCTCTCTCTCTTTCTGTCTCGATCTGTCTATCTGTCTCCCTCTCCCTCTCCCTCTCCCTCTCCCTCTCCCCTTGTCTCCCTCTCCCTCTCCATCTATCTCACATGCTCTCTCTCACTCACACGCGCAGGTGCAAGGCATCCAGGAGACGTCGGCTAAGCTGCAGGCGTCGTACGCCGGCGACAAGGCGCGCGAGATCCAGAACCGCGAGGCCGAGGTCGTCAACGCCTGGATGAACATGCAGATGACGGTGGAGAGCCGCAAGGTGAAGCTGGTCGACACGGGAGACCTCTTCAAGTTCTTCAGCATGGTGCGCGACCTCATGCTGTGGATGGACGACATCATACGCCAGATGAACACGCAGGTGAGTGCGTGCGCGCGCGGGCGAGACGCGGGCGTGAGGCATGGGCGAGACGTGGGTGTGAGACATGGGCGAGCCGCGCATGTGGGATGTGTGCGAGGCATGGGTGAGACATGTGGGTAAGACGAGGGTCGTGCAGGTGAGATATGGGTCGCACAGGTGAGAGGTAGGTCTCGCGGCTGTGACGTCTAGGTGAAATGGCATTCACGCTCGTAAACAATACAACCAATTCTCAAAAATATTACCGAAATATATGGTGTATGACAATGCGGTTGTTATTTTTATTGTTATTATAATTTTTAATTAATTAATGATTACTAATTAACATTTATTAATTAACCTGCCTCAGGAGAAGCCGCGTGATGTCTCCGGCGTCGAGCTGCTCATGAACAACCACCAGAGCCTGAAGAACGAGATCGACGCGCGCGAGGAGAACTTTGACATCTGTGTCAACCTGGGACAAAACCTACTCGCCAGACGCCACTACGCATCCGACGAGGTGAGAGAGGAGGGGAGGATGAGGAGGAGGGGTGAGGGGAGGAGGAGGGGTGGGGGTTAGGGGGAGGGTGGATGAGAGGAGGGTGAGGGAAAGGACGTGGCCGGAGAGACAACTTTGACGTATACATCAGCCACCTTGGAGACGACAATTGCAGCAACAACCTTGTGTACCGCTTAGCAACAACACCCATCAACCTCCTATCCCTAGTATCAAGAGGCAGGGGTACTGGAAATGCGAGCAATAGTCTCACCACCATGTATATAGTATGTATATATATATATATATATATATATATATTATATTATAATAATATATAATATTGTATATGCGTTCCGTTAACAGGAGGCCCAGAGAGTAACGATAATTTTTTAAGCTCACTTTTTGACATCGTCAAGCTTGAGTTATCTGCCATGGGTCGTCGTCCTGTCGTACTTCCGTCAACTTTGGTTTCGGTCAACTGATAACTCAGGAACGTTTTGACCCACATGTTTGATTTGGGTTTAGTTGTTACTGCTATGCTTCCATATTAAACGTCCTATTTTGCGGCACGCCAGTCGAGTACTTTCGAGCCACGGCAATCTTTTTGGCAAAAATGGGAAATGCCATTTAGTCAGTTCAGGTTCAACGGGATTGCTCCATTTTTGGTATGTGAATGAATTAAGGGCTAGGGTTTTGATCTCTTT